CTAGGCACTGCCATGAGCGATATGTACCAGTGCAAAAAATCTAAAACTGTCCCACAGCTGCAAGTGTTTTTTTTTTCTGTGGTTTCAAGGGCACATTAATAATAAACAAAACTTTTAAATAACATGCTTGGGGGTGTCCTTAAATCTGTATGCGCTATTACAGAACAGAACAGTTTTCACAGAAAGTGACAGTCTCAGTGACAGCATACAGTGGCAGCACATATTTGGCTGTGGAACTGATTGTTTTTCTTTTACATTTACCTTGGTTTACATACATACACCAGCAGCACCCTAATATAGTTTATTTCAGTTTTAATTTAAAAATACATTTTTCTCCAGGTAGTTTTAGCAGTGACACGTTCTCTTTCATCAAATGGTATTAGGGACACTATCCCCATTCATGCTTATGGAAACCTGTCTTGCTACTGGCCAATATCTATCAAACTCTCATTAAAAATGAAGATACTACAGAGGATACAACACTATTAAATTGTTCAGCAGCAGGACAGTTTTAATTAGGATAACAGGCAGCTGTGGGACAGCTTTAGATTTTTTGCACTGGTACATATCGCTCATGGCAGTGCCAAGCTTGAAAAAAACAAGGCAGCAAAGGGATTGATTACACAAAGAGCTAGCAATCACAATTAAAGTTCCACTTCCTAAATGACCCTCATCTCTCCCTAAATAGTTTATCAGCTTTCCTCCGCTTTTCCTATGCATTCCTAACAACTTTTTTCAATAAATTGACACTGTGGCTGCTCTGCACCCCTCTTTTATAGTGAGGGGACTGGCTTAATCAAAAGCCCCCTTGTTGGCCCTTCGTAGCCTCCTGGCCATAGTTCAAAGGCTGTATAATGCATTTTGGTTTGAAAAAAAATTTCCAGGGTGAATCTGCACATAATTTGTAAGTCTCAAACCCAGAGAATTCACCTCAAACCCATGGTAACCGTGAACCCAAACCTAATCCTTACCTACTGCATTCACTTGGAGGAGAGCCTAAATGGAGAAACCAGTGCTGTGAGTAACACGTCTTAGAATCAGTGAGTAGGAGTAGCTAGGAATTAATATGAAGAGATCTTGCTACAAGAGTTCCCAAGGGGCATACAAATCTAGTGAGTGATTGAGCTAGCCTGTGTTCACTAAAATTAAATATCAGTTTACGTTTTATAAAGAAACATATGAAGATAAAATGCAGTGTACACTTGCAACACTTTACATTACCCACCAGAGTTTGTACTATGGCATGATTAGTGGCATTCATATGAGCATTGAGAGGAAAATAACATTCTCCATCGCAATAAAAGGCTGCATATCCCTCTGGAGCTATTATCCAGTCCTAAAATAAAACACAATTATCAGATTTAGAAACTGCTATATCAGCACTGTTGTAGTCTAAATTCTTTTGCATATTTTTCTAACTTATAAGGCAATAACAGTACTGTGACTAATCTGAAGGCTATATTTCCTTATCTATTGTAAATTGTAGAGTCATATCTTATAAAACAGCAATATTTAATTAAAGGATCACATTTGCATGGTTTAAAGTACTTTTGCTAAATAGCGAGAAGGCAATTCAATGCAAGACAGACATTTTACTCTTACCTGCCAACCCAGGTCACGAAAGCTGACGTACAGTTCATGTTTTTTACATGCTTGTTTCTGCTCACTAGTGTTGTGATCTGTAGACAAACACAGCCAGGTAACATACAGTTTAGACAAAAAAATATATCACTTATGCTAATCACCAACTGGTATAATGAAGTAAACCTTACAGATTGCCACTAGGGTTTAGTGAACCTGGCTGGGTTCAGCTCCAGCTGCATTAAACAAACCCAGTAGGAAGACTGTGAACCCCCAATGCAGCAGCGAAGCCCAATTAAGTCTATGGGATGTGTAGCCCCTTCACCCTAACTGGAGTGGCTCTTAAAATTTAGTATTGCTGGAACTGTAATAGGTCTGGCTGATTTGTATTTTGTTAATTCCTAGGTGTTCTGCTATTGTCTGCACCTACCTGTATTGGGGAGTGACCCTGCCACAGAATGGGGCAGCCAATGGGAGAAGATTGGGGGTGTTTATGCCTCACCAGCCAATCACTTCGGGTTTCATGGCCAGTGGTGCATGCTGGGAAAGTGAATAAATACTCAGGAATTGCCATCTGCTCTGGTCAGTCCACACTTGGACACTAGTCTGGGGGTAGCGTGTACACAGTTGGAGAAGCTAACTAGTCCTGAGGTCTGCAGGAAGCCAGATGTTGACCCAGGAGGGGTCTGGAACTGTGTGGGATAAAGAACCAAAGGGGCAAAGTGAACAGCCTAATTGCCTTTAGTAAACCAACCTCACTAGCTTGATGAGCAAGGAATATGTCATCACTGATCAGCATTAGAGCTGTTTTTAGAAAAGCAGTGAGAACCCAACAGAAGTTCTAATTCTTTCTCACTATGTCCAAAACTAGAATAAAAGTTTTTGGCTTCACATACACTTAAAGCTGGCCATACATATGCTAAGATAGCTGTAGAATACAAATTTGATTAACCTATCATTCTGTCACTTTCACTACTGCAACTTCAGATATAACCCTACCCCAACTTCATCTATAAGCAGATGGGCGACATACCTGAGACAGCTGCCCTATCTCCATTATACCTTGATTAACACCTGCCAGACTGAAGTAACATAAATTCAGAGATGCAAAACATTCCCTATTGTTCTTCAATACACTATTACAGTACAACCTGTAAAGCTAATAACTAAAAGTGGGTGGGTGCTTATCCAATGCCGATTACTGTATCTGAACACTGGCTAACTACCCGCAACATCTGATTCAACCTTCCTCCCTCTGCATGTTAATCAGAGTAAGTGTCTTATATCCTCACACATTATCCACACATGCCATTAACTCTTTTATGATTCTAGCCCCCCTCCAAACACTTTATACCGGCCTTACATCGTTGTCTCTGTGTCTTGCTTTAAGGAGAAATCAGGCAAAACTGTTATTAACCCTTGCAGTGGGGCTATATCTGTACTGCAAGGTTTAACTGCTTGTTCTTGTCTAGATGCTAAAAAAAATTAAGTTATACTCACCTGAAATGCGGAACCAGCATGTTCTTGGACCAGTCCTTCCAGCCTCTCTCCGCATCCCCTGCAGCAGTCTAACGTCCTGTAAATCATCACGTTCTATACACTATGTATAAATGAGAGGATGCTGAGTGTTTTTTTGTTTCTTACCTGTAATACTAGGCATTTTTGATGCATCTTGCTGTGATGAAGATTTGTTCTTGTCTTGCTTCTTCCTTTTTGTGTTTGCAGCCCTAACTGAGCGCAGCAAAACTTCACTTGCTTTGAAGAAAGCTACTAAAAATGGTTGCTTTGACTGGGGTCCATGTCTCCCAACAAGGCCAACTGACTTAACATTGACACTCCGGCCTGAAAAAAACCCAAGAAATAAACAGCCAAATGATATCTTCATAATGTGGCACAGCAAAAAATATTACTGAAAAGAAAACAATTCCATTAAAAAAATAGCAAAACTTAATGAACTGCATTATTCTCTATTGACTAGACAAATCTTCATGGATTAATTCATTTAGGAGGCTACAAAATATGAACAAATTTAACTTTAGGGTTCCACAAATACCATTTGAGGCCAAAACATGACAAACCTTTGGTCTAGTGATCCTTTGCATATCACTCAATTGTGTACAAAGTTTTGACTGTTGGCTTTGCAACTGGAAATTTATAATGCCATATGTTGTTATTATTATTATTATTATTATTATTATTATTATCAAACATATGCCTGTCTGGTGATCAGTGAAACTACAGAATTTAAAAAACTATTTTTACTGTAGTAAATCACTGTGAATTTCTCAGTATGCCTTAAAGAGGAACTTTACCCAAATCTTCAAAATAACAACAAAGGCAACATTTAGAAATGTTTAATAATGACAATCTACAAACAGATACTCACAGCAGAGGGCAGTAAAAGATGTAAAAGATTTTATATCACCATTCAGAACTGCATGCTGATCTGATTTTTAGTCAAAGGGGGTAAAGGTCCACATTAAGAGGGAAAAGGTGACACATGCTGGTCAATGCCAGGGGGAAGGTGATATTTAAAGTGAATCTAAAGCACAAATCAGCTGTTATTTGTAGTTTAGGACATAGAGGTCAGAGCCGCTGTCAGGTTTTTATTGCTATGTTTGTCCCCTGTAGTTAGATTTACCCTTTCTATTTGTTCTGGGGACCACTGTCACTGGGACTGAAAGTAAGGGAACATCCAAAAATTTGAGTTGTCACCATAACAGCAATAGAGGGGAAATCTTTCAATTGATGACATTTTTTCTAGAGACGGTTGTAGAGGGCATTTCCCTTTTTTTGCTGTTGTGTCGAAAGGACAGAAAACAAAGGGAAATCTCTCCAATGGGATACAAAGAAGGCAAAGAGGCAAATAAAAAAAAATGGCAGTGGTTTTAATGATTCATCACCTTCCTTATCCAAAATTAAAAAAGGTTTTGACTTTAGATATGCTTTATGTTGTCAGTGCAAACCACTCACTACCCAATATATACAGTGTTCATGGGTTTTGTGGGGTTTCCTCCAGGTACCCTAAATTCCTCCCACTATCCAGACATATATTCACAGGTTTATTCATTTCTGTTAACATGAGTGATAGTTTGTATAAAACTGATTAAGGAATATTGAATAATAAGCTCATGTAAAGCCATTGAAGATAACAAGTGACTATCTATTGTTTATGTATTTTCCACTGACTATTAATTTGAGGAAGTACTTCACCACTAACCGACAACGTAAGGGGGCTCTGCTGAGCCCTCTGTACTCCATGCTGTACACTCTGTATGCTATGCTATAGGGTACATTATGCAGACTACAACATTCTGTCTGATGAGCTGTATTTTTCATACACCAGGACGCTGCATTGTGTGTGTTGTGCTGTTTTTTTACATAGTCTGCTGCATTTTGTAGCCTCACTGAACATTACATTAAACTGACTGCGGCACTCTGTATTCTGTGTTGTAAGTTAAATGCTACATATTTGTGCACTCTGTGTGCCATGCTGTAGGTTTCATACACCAGATTGTTGCACTCTGTATGCCATACTGTATGTGGCATGCTCTCGACTGCTACACTATATGCCATGCTATACGTTATATACTCTGGACTGCTGCACTGTTTATGCTATGCTGTAGGTTACAGACCTCTGTATTCTATAGTCTACACTGTATGTTACATAATCCTAAACAATTCTGTACACTATGCTTTTTTCTTTCAGAATGTACAACCAATGCACTATGTTGCAGACCACTACACAATCTATGCTGCTTTGTATGTATCATATGGCAGACCACTGTTCTTTGTACATTTTGCATTAGTTTAGATAATATGTAGACCATATTGTTATAACACATGTGCTATATTATAACTTACATTCCACAGCCTGATGGCCCATGTTGTACATTCATACCACCTATCAATTCTATTAATTAATTCAGAATGTCATGCTGTTTAATGAATAGGCACGCTTTTGCAT